TTCAGCTTTCCGGCTGTCTACAGGTGGCGTCAGGGGCTCTAAGCGGTGCTGGGGGTGTCTACAGGTGGCGTCAGGGGCTCTAAGCGGTGTTGGGGGTGTCTACAGGTGGCGTCAGGGGCTCTAAGCGGTGTTGGGGGTGTCTACAGGTGGCGTCAAGGGTTCAGAGTGAGCAGAAAAGGATTTCCTGAATCAGGTAGAGTACGAAATATTCTGCCCACAAGTTTAGCTACTGGAAGACTTATCAGGTGCTTACACAGTGCAATTGCTGATATCTGACGACATGCGTACAGACCTCACAAAATGTGTCGCTCACAAACTAACCATAATCACACAGCCCATACTGTCTCCGGCACATCATACTTATCCCTTATAAAGACTATGTCGTTCTTGCTACCAGGTATTGCATAACTACCTTCAGCACCATGATGTTACCTGGCTTTCTAGCTGTTACTGTCCTCGCTTGACACATCTGAATAATTCGGCTCTCCTTCATTTTGAACCCTGAAAGATCTTGTTATATTCTGCTCATAAATAAAAGGATTAAGTCATGCCTTTGTTGGCAGAATGCCATCTTTATGCCTTTTCTTGTACAGTCGTATAGAATCTAAAAATGAAATCCTTGAATCTCATAAATGCAGCTGCATTTTTCAAGGCAGCATGAGCATTAGCTACTCGCAGACTGAGTTTATTAACTAAGACAGAAATGAATTCTTGCCAGACAGTTTTAAACTTTAAATGTTACTGTTATATGATATGAAATTATCTCCATAAATTCTGAGTACAAAATTTACGGTTCTCACAAACCCACTCCTGCTGTTATGGGTTCAGTATATGTCTTTAATCACATTTAAGCACTCTAGGTCTTTCTAAAAGCCTCTATTTTATTGTATTAATATTAAAATATTATAACATTAGAATAAGATTTTTTAGGGGAAAAAATTCTCTCAATAATGTTGCATTCAGTTGTCATGTATGCATTTGCCCTATCCATAAACATAAATAATTATCAATTATAACATACTGATTTTACAGGTTTACAACAGATAGAATAATAATTTTTCCAGCTCATTCATGTAAGTTATCAAAAGTGCATGATTATGTGCTGTAGTTATCTTTGCCTTATTACAATTGTATTATATATTACAATTTTAAAATATTGTATAAAAAATATCAAAATATCCCCTGAGAGTTATACCTCCACAGTCATTTCCTGCCCAAATAGCTACCCCCACCTCATTGTTGCTGTGAAAGTAATTTGTCGTTAAGACAGTTGCACTAGTTCCGTCCCAGTAAGTGATGATTAAGCTGGAGCTGAAATCTAGTGACAAGGGACATTCGACACAAGTAGAGAGGCCCACGGCGTCGTACTGCGCACTGCACACTGCATACTGCGAAGGCAGGCCAAAGACACCCTGCGACTGTGAGTCACGTCGCTGGGGGCCTGGGCTGCATTTCCCCTCTAACAGGAGGTGTTGGGGAGTCACCAGCCCGCGGCCCCTCACGGTAAGCGGCCGAGGCAGAGTGGGATCCATTATTAAATCGTGAGAATGGGACATCAGACGGACACGGGCAATATTTCTGCCCTGAACACAAGGGCTCCAAATAATTTATGACTGAATTGTCATCAATCTACATGGTGCCAGCGGATGGGACTGGCACTGGCGGCGGCACACAGATTCTGGGAGGCGAGTGGAAACATGGACTCACCTACAGATAACGCTCATATTGTTTTACTGGATTAGGGTTTGATTGCTGCAGTACACTCATGACAAACTGCCATTGTGAGACAAAGCAAAATGGCAATTTCATTTTGTGTGCAACATGAAGATGAAAGAGGATGACATTGAGTTTATTTAGTACTGATGTTAACCTTTTTTAGTATTCCATTGACAAAAAATTACCTGACAGCAAAGACTGGACAGTACACAAAGTGACAGACACTATTTTAAACAGAACGAAAATAAGAGACTAAACTCATCTGCTTATTATAGAGTATAGATCCTTGATGATCGAAAATACAATCGAATAAATACAATTTGCCTTAAATGTGTACAGTATCCAGGCAAACTACTACAGCTACATAGCAAAATCAAAGCACAGTCATTTTGTGGCACGGTCGCAAATTTTCTATCAGTAAACAAATATATATCAATAAAACAATTTTTGAATTTGTATATTAGCGTATTGTACTTGTAAATTTCATTTTTGAGAAAGGATGTCCAGGCTTCGCCATTGTTCTTAACCAGTTTAAAGGTTTATATCCAGTATAATCGCTGTCTCCCGACAGAGATATAATTGTGGGCAGATCAATTTCAGCTCAGTGACAGAAGGGGTGAAAGACAGAGTGGACGGTGCCACCCAGCTATTTTTACACGAAGAGCAGGAATGTGACAGCCATGGTCGGAGTGGCTCTCCGTCAGTCAAACCGCGCGAGCGCACAGCCCGTGCAGCACCACCGCGGCGCTATGACTCTTACAGCCAAGTTCTCCGCCACCATCTGTGCACCCTGAATGCTCTCCTCATGTGCACATCTTCCCTGCGACGCTTTCAACACTAAGCCCCACATAAAGTTTGGCCCCACATAATGACAAAACCTGCACACACACACACACACACACACACACACACACACGCTGCTCGGCGACGGTGAGCTGGGCGGTCCTACCCCTCATTGTCCGCACTCCTGAATCCAGGAAGAATGTGCCGGAAGCTGCTGTTGCGGTCGAGCTTGGGCTGACTCTTGGTGCGCTTGATGGAGCCCTTCAGCCGCCGGCTCAGGAAGCCCTAGGCAGGAGGAGAGCGTGGCAGGAAGGAGCAGAGAGGTTATTAAAGTCACAGGTTCATCGCAGAGATTACAGGGCGAGCGAAAGACAGTGTGGTGGCACAGCTATGGCTGGCCGCTCCAGCGATCGATCCGCGCTCCCGTTTCCGCCGCTCTCTCTCCCGCTCGCTTTCTGCTCTGCGCGGAGCGCATTGTTGTCAGGATCTGGCTGCCACATCTGTTCACAGTACACACAGGCAAGGCAACAGCGTTGAAGCGAGGCTCCCCTATCGGCCTGTTACCATGGAAACAGCTGGCTGGCATTGCAAAAGAGAAGGGGGAAAAAAACCAGATCCAGAGTAAAAGACAGCACTGAGGCACTTTAAGTTCAGCAGAAGAATAAAGTGTGAGTGTATTCTGTTAAGAGATGACTCTTGATAGAAAGAGGGATTAAAAAAAACATAGATAGGCCAGGTTGTTCATGCAAGTTGATTCCTTACAAGGTCCTGAATTTGCCCCTGACTTTATAGTGGCTGATGAAGCCGAGTGCGTAAAGGCAGAGTTCAGAGCAGGCCTGAGAGCTGCAGCACATGCCGACAGACGAGATAATAACGGGCTTCCACACGGCAAACAAACCACAAACACAACATCCTCAACATCTGCAATTAACACAACTGGATAATTAATGCTGCGGCCCCATCAGCTTGCGGCTCTGGGAATGTTTCCTACAAGATCAGATTGCGGAGACACTGGGAGGCTTCTGATAACGCAAAGCGAAGCCCAGTTCTGGGGGTGAATCCTCATTCCCTTTCTCTATTGGCTGTTTGTCTGCTCGTTCCCTTACAACTGAGGCCAACTTGTCTGCATGACAAACAGCAAAACACCCCATGTGGACCCGAAGATATCAGCACAGCTGCTCTGCGGGAGAAATTACGAGGGTCAGGTGAGGTCAGGGTTTAGTTGCCTAAAAGCTTAAGAAACTGCAACAGATGGTTGAAGGATCAAACCCCAGGAGATGGTTAGATTGTGTATCTTTGAATATTATGAACCAAATTCTGCTCTGTGAAATCCCAGTAGCATCAAATGCGTGTATAGTGCCTTTCTCAAGAGGACTCTGCTCCAAGGCATTTTCACAGATTCAAACTGACAATTAAGCTTCATGACAGAGTAAACAAACAGTGAATAAAAACAAGAAGGCAATGGAGGACCAATGTCTGATTAGGGTTTTGGGATTGGGATTAGGGTTTTTCCCATAGAAATGAATGGACAGTCCCCATTTAGACCAACTTGTGTGTGTGTGTGCATGTGTGTGCGTGTGTTTCTGTTTATGTGATTCTGTTGTGCTGTCTTCTGTCAGGTCATATGTAGGTCAGCACGCTGGCTGTAGGTCAGTTGTCTTCAATCCTCTACTGAACAAAACCTCTGTGTTGTCTGCTGTATTCTTGGCATAAACCCAAATGATATCAATACCAGTAAGAGGCTCCCACCATGAGGAGAGGAGAGTAACACAGTGGGTCAGTATGGAAGGTGATGTGCGACCAAACCAAGCGAAGCCCTGTCTATGCTAGGCTAACACCCGCAGCCCTATTTATGCTACGCTAACACCCGCAGCACTGTCTATGTTAGGCTAACACCCGCAGCCCTATTTATGCTATGCTAACACCCGCAGCCCTGTCTATGCTAGGCTAAGCTAAAGGAATCGGTCCGGATTCGAATACTGAGAACAAGGGAGCATCCTTCACTTAAGCTGGAAGACAAAAAGCCCCTTGGCTGAAGGCTCTGTTGCCAATAGTGCTTTTATTTATTTGAGGAACAGTGTATATCCTGGGTTGTCTGTATTGATGATGTTCTGTTACATAAGCAAAGGCCGGAGCCTTTAGCGTCTGGAAGTAAAAGAATGATTTTAAAGTCTGTCCTGTACTTTGCCAGAAGCCACTCGAGAGACAGGTGGAATATGGCCATATTTACTCCTTCTAGGAAAATTTCTTGCTGCTACATTTTGAATCCGCTGCGGGGTAGGCAGTGTTCCCCGACAGCAAAGCATCACAGCGGTCTGCTCAGCTATATATTAATACATGTATCCATTTTTTTTTCAAAAGGTTTGAAAATGCCACAGTTTCTTGTCTGTAAGAAGCGTCCCCCAGACAGGGAGCTAACAGGAGTGATAAACAGGTCTGAATCCAAAATGACACATAGATAACCAGCTGAAAACAAACTCTAAACCCTTAGAGTTAAGTGCTGAAAACAAGGCATGATGAGTCGTGTGTCAACAGCATATGAATGAAAATTAATTTTATGAAACCAAATTATCCATTCTAGGGGAGGAATGTAAGAGAACTGATCCCAGTGGGACTCTGCATTTCACCAGTAGTTCCCCTGATGTTACTAGATATTGGTGACGATGGTCTAGTTAAGGCGTATATCACTTAAGGATGCTGCTGCATAGACTGACCCCGCATTCCAGCCTATTTAACAGAAATGAGTAGTCAATTGTCTCTGAAGCAGCACTAAAATCTAAGAGCATAATGAGCGTTTCACAGCATAGTGGCACGTCATTCCCCACTCTGGTTAAACCTGTTTCAGTGCTGTCGCTTTGTCAAAAATCAAGACTGAAACTTTTCTACTGTTACTAGTCTCGAGGCATATTTAAGGTTAGGTGGCAAGTTTCTCAAGGATCTTTGAGAGAAAGGCTACATTTGAGGCAGGTCTATAATTGTCACGAACATCAGGATCTAAGTGTGTCTTCTTCCTCAGTGGTCTCATTACAGCCACTTTAAAGCAATGCGGAACAACACCTGAAGTATGTATTAATGGTTTTGAGTACGGGCCCTCTGAGAAACTCCTGCAGTTCTGCATGCATAGTGACTGAAGCTGGAAAACCTTCAAGGATGGAAGATTTCACTCTGTTATCGAGATGCTTCCAAAAGCATGCACAAACAACTACCTTGTTAGGAAGTCTCTAAATGTGGACTCCCAAGTGTGAATTACAATCCACTATAACATGAAGAATGAGACGGGACTGGTCTGAACTAAACTCATTAATCCAAGACTGGGGAAGGTGACCTTGGAATGATATTACATATTTCTTGCATTTCCGGGGCATTTCCCTTTGTTTTTTACCTGCAGAAACACACAGAGACCTGGAGAGACGCTTAATGAATAAAGTGAATTTATAGACAGTCCTTGTCTATTCACTGAAGAGGATGAGAAATAAATAGCCCGTCCTTGCTTCTGCTTTTTTGCACATATTGCCCCTGGTATTCTTTCAAATTGTAAACAAAATGCTCTAGTTCATTCTGCTCCTTTATTTCATAGGGTCTTAAGTCTCCGTATGAACCTTAAAGCTGAAAAGCAGAAACATCACATTTTGTCACACATCAAATAAAAATTTCTCGGAGCAGTGATACTATCCTGACATTCTTTGCATTTCAAGATGCAAATAAACAGTGAAATTGCTCTGCTCTATTCCTGCAATAAAACTGGATTAGTATAAAGACACTGAATAACTAAACATTATTATATAGGAAATTCCATGTATTTTAAAACAGTACATATGTAGCTGTTGCAGAATAGTGCGGGAGGAGCTGGAGAGGACACACACACACACACACACGCACACATAAATACACACAGACATAAGAAAGGGATTTTCCTTAAATAATGAATGCAAGCAGAAAAAGGTCTTAATATAGTAATGCAGCTATGTAGGACACAGGATCAGACAGCAATGTTAACAGACCATGGAAACTCATCATCATCACACGTTTGCCACAGGGGAGATGGTATGAATAGCAGGGGACTTTAAGTGATCCTTCAATTGGATGGATACATATTTCAGGGTATATAAAACTGACAGCAGCAGCTGGCCCGTTATTTTAAAGGAATATGACACCTCACTTAAAAGTGGAAATTTGTTTTGACTCAAGTTTTGCAGGACAATAAACAAACACTTGCAGAACAATCTACACTCAAACCAGTTGCCTGAAATGACCGTGTTTTGCTTAATGTGGTTGTTTCCTCAGAATAAGTCATGTCCACCTACAATAAGAGCAAAATAAATTTTAACAGTTAACATAGGGCAAACAGTATTACCTCAGTTGTTAGAAATGTGTGGCGTGGTGCGTTATGGGTGTCTTACTGTGTCTGAAAGGATGCGGGATCAAAGCAGATCAATAATATTGCCCCTGAGCAAAGGCCTCAACACCAACTTCGCAAAGGACGACGGCTGAGCCTGTTGCCCGACCCAAAGGCCTCAACACCAGCTTCGCAAAGGACGACGGCTGAGCCTGTTGCCCGACCCAAAGGCCTCAACACCAGCTTCGCAAAGGACGACGGCTGAGCCTGTTGCCCGACCCAAAGAAATCCTCGCTTGTACGTTTTGGACAAGAATCTGATAAGTAAATGTTAAGATAAGAAATATTACTGTCAATACGACAAAGTTACATTCCCAAAATTAAGGAGGAGAAATAAAAATCTTTTGAAAAAATAAATCATACAGTATGCTAAAAGTACTCAAACGCATTTACCAGTTTCAAGGGTGGAAGAGAGCGGTGAAAGAGGAGACCTGGTGTGTTAAAAGAGCGAGCTGACAACAGGCAGATGAAATTCAGCACCACTAAAATTATATTTCTGTTTGAGCTGAGGTTTTTATTTGTGGACACTAAATGAGGCCAGCGACGTGACAGAGGCGTGGGTGATACGGCAGACCGACGGGCTTTAGATGGTGCGAAAGCAGTGAAAAGTATAAAGGGGATATTAAAGAATAGCAAGAAGTCCGTATGGCAAACCAGGCTGCATTAATCTTATGTGGTGCAGAAATACAGGAGCCAGTGAGGGCCACGTAAGGACAAGGGTGACTGTCCTGGATATCAGACAAATGAGCTCCAGCAAAGGGGGGAGACACTTAATCTTCCCGGCTATAAAGGAGGCAGGAAAGAATGTAATTGAGGGTTTAAAATTTCTAAAGGAAATCAATAAGGTTGGGTGCAGTAACCAGCACTGGCAGAAGAACAAGAATTAACAA